CAGTACAAAATAAGCTCAATCAGTCGGGACGATTTGGGACAATCAGAAGAAAATTGGTTATATTGTTCAGGCTGATATAATATCGTCCTGGCCGATTAGTTCAAATCCGAGTACAATCATCCTGAACATCGCCCGTAATAGAGTCTGGTCGATGTTAATTGTCCAGAACATCATCTCAACTGATATGATCGTATCAATCAGCCTTAATTGCTTTCTATAATTTATAGATTAATTTAGGTATAATTGTGCTGCATCATCCAGGACGATATAGAGATCATCCTAGCCGATGTCCTGAAATAAAGAGTACTTAAATTGATCTTGGAGGCTGATTCTTTCTGATTTGAGCTTATCTTCCTAGTCGATACAAGGATCGTTCAGGACAATATTCTTAATTATGGATACTTAACCAAGATGCTCTAATTAGGATTTCTATTTTTTGTAGGATCGTCCTGGCTGATATGAACATCGTCCAGGATGATGTACTCAAAACAGAAAAACACAGAAAATCCCTCAACTGTGTGTGTGTGTGTGCAAGGTTACTTAGTATCAGGAACCACTTTTACAATTGACTCAAGAAAAAGAAAAATATTACAGACTGACTCAACCTAAATCTACCTAAACTTGAGCTAGTTTGAGTTGCATTTGATCATGTGGACCTGAAAAGTTAGTAGGCAAGGCAGTCTTAGAAAAACATGAATGTTTGTTATCATCAAAAGTCTAATACATAATCTTAGATTCGCAACACCAAGTGATGAGATGACCATTTGGATTAAAATGTATATTTGAAATGTTAAAGGGCATTTTAGTCAATTATGGTTGACTTGGTCAACCAGGCCAAACTAAGGGCTAGGTTTGGGTTTAGTAAGTCCAAGGGAGTGATTTGAAACCAATGAAGTGATCTCATGCAATGGTGAAGTTATTTGGGTTGAAATAACCATTTAAATCCTTAAAGGATTATTTAGTCAAAGTAAGTTGACTTGGTTAACCATGCTTGACCAAGATTGAAATTTGAGTCCAATGCACTCCTAATAGTGTTTAAGATGCCTTAGTGAAGATTCTAAGGTTTTATTTGACCGGGACATGCTAAGGTTTGAGAAAAAGTCTAATTTTTTCCTTAACAAGCATTTTGGTCATTTTGACCCCTAGTCAATTGAGAGTCAAATTAGGTCCACCAAAATGTAGTTATGTGTTCAATATGTAATAAAAATAATTATGGACATGGTCAAGGGTTTTGGGAAAGGTCCGGAGGTCAAATTCCACAAGGTGTAGGGTCTAGTGCATGGGGCTATAAATATTTGATGGTTTTGTAGTCTTTGGATTTCGATTCATTTTCTAGAATTAGAACTGTCAGATTGGACTCAAATTTAAAGAGTTGACCCTAGGGGCATGCCTAATCCATATTTAATTAACAGATTATGAATTAGGGGTCATTGGACTTGGTTTTGAGGTGATTGAAAAATCACTAAAATAGGGTTTCGGGACAAGGACCTTTTACCTTAGATTTTGAACTGGACTTTGGGTTTAGTTTATTAAATTTGAATTTTCTATATCAATTATAGTTAAATGAATAAGTGTAGTTGAATGGATATGATTGAAGATTGGTTGAAGGCCAGATTAAAGGTTGATAGAAGGATGAATTGAGGTCTAGAGTGAAAATCGAATGAGATTTAGATGATTGACAAATGGGTAATTGTCAAGCATCAAATCACCAAGCAAAGATTTGGATAGGTCTTGATGACCTCATACAAAAATGAGGTCAACATCGACATAATGAGGAATTGTATTAGTTGAGGCTTTCTCCTTGCTACCAACAGAAGGAAGTGCATCAACTGGGCTTCCTCCTTTTTATCAATAAAAGAGGGAATTGAATCATCTGAGCCTTCCTTTTTGATATCGACGAGAGGAAGTGCATTAGCTGGGCGGCTTCCTAGAAGGATGAGAAAAAGAAAATAGGAGGTTGCTCAGGTTCAAATTTACACTAAGCAATATGGTGGATAGGCTTGTATTTAATATAATCAATATTTTCTTCTAGTCACTCAAGCCTTGTGCTCAGCCTATTTTCAAGGTCATTGAAAAGATTTGTGCATGTTGTAAAGAGTGTTGTTAGAAATTTATCCTGGATGGTAGCTCAATCCTAAACTTAGTTCTAGGAGGGCTTACTGGGGAGAATAAGGAGGGGCGTTTTGGGAAGAATGAGGGGGGACTTGTTAGGAAGAATGTGGTTGGGGGGTGGGGGTGATGGGGAAAATGAGTGGTATGGGTGGGGAATTAATTTTGTGTCGTTGGAGAGGGGATTTGCTGAGGAGAATGAGAGAGGTTTGGTGTTTAGAAGTAGTGGATTACAGTGCAGTCAGCTAGTAGGTTGTTTTCTTCCTCTTGAGTTACTCCTAGGAGGACATAAAAAATCTACACATAAATTATTTCATTGATAGCAAATCTCCAATCTTAGAGGGATTTATTAAAATATGCTCAAAGATAAATTTACATGTGTACCTTCCTTTTCTTTAACGTTCAAATAAATTATAGGCCTTTTCAGCAGAATAAAATATATATGTATTGCCCATCGAAGAAAATTGGGTCTTAAGTCAAGGTACCTATTGACATTTATTGAAAAGTGTTCCAGAAATCAAATATGCAGAAGAACAAATGTAATGTTATCTAATGAATTAGTAAAATGAATTAATAATAAGAATGATATTTAGGCTCTCTTTGAATTCACAATTAACTGAGGTATCAAAGTATTTAGATAACCTAGTGGCTTATGCATAGCAAACGTTCTGGCAATTTTATTAAACTCATAAGCTAAAAACTCCCTTGTGGACTCGACATAGTTAATATAAGAGATCTCATTTATATTATTCGCGATATTAAGTGCCTTCTTGGTGTTTTATAATTATTAAGGAAAAAAATAAATTTGACAATAAGAATATAATAAATATCTTTAACATAATGAATGGATCGATCAGTTGATCTATTAATTTATATCATATCACTCTTAATACTCATTGATCTGTATCTTGTAAGTGGCTCGCTCTACTAGAAGATCTCAGCAGCTTTATTTGGCAATCCTGTAAGCAGAGACACTTCATCTCATGTGACTTTTATCTCATGACCCTTGATGATAAAGTAATGCTAAGGAATATCCTAGAATTTGAGCATCTCATATATTAGTGGAACATTATGTTTAAATGATAGGAAATTTCAAAAATTGCTATATGTTTAATAACTTAAATGTGTCCTCGACATCCTTGTTTATTATCTCGACGAAAGATTCACAGATAGTTCTAAGAGTTTATATATAACAATGATAAGTAGAAGGCCGAGCATACATAAGCAGACATCACAGAAAAATACATAGTAAATATGTAATAAATATATAGTTATTACGTGGTAAATACACATTGATGTTATCTTGACAATTTATTGAAAATATTTTTTATTACAAGTTTAATTCTGAATGCACATTCGATACACCATCGATATACGGTAAAATACAATTGATATATAATAAATGCGTAGTTGATGCATACTAAATATGCAGTTAATACTAAGTTAAAAAAAGAGTCGAAAATGAACAAAAACAACTTAAAAATTTAAAAACTTTGCAACCTAACTTTAAAAATGGATGACAGTTGATACAAAGTTGATATCAGCGAATACACAGTAAGTACACAATTAATATGCAATTTATATGTAGTTAATACATAGTTTGAAAAAGATTCACCAAATAAACAAAAATAACTTAGTAATTTGAAAACTGTGCAACATAATTTTGGAAATGGAATAATAGCTCAAAACACAGTCAATACAGAGTTGATACACAATGAATACGCATTTAATATACAAATAATACTAACCAAGTAAATATAAAGTCCATTCACAATCGATAATAATAAATAAAAATTTTGCACGACGGTTTATATTCACCTGTCTGTAGCACCAAAAGCGTCTAACCCGTGTACGCCAAATTGATTGCCCTTTTCGCTTTTTTTAATAGTGGATTATGTTTAGCGTTCATTGGAGGGTCATGTGCTAACTTATAAAATGACAAGCAAAAACACCAAACTCTAAAAATTCTAAACTTAAAACCTAAAACCTATTTTGAGAGATAAGCCAAAAAAATAACTATGAATATAAGCTGAATGAGAATGATGGACTAATCCTGTTGGTGGATGATGAACTTAGTGCCTGGATACAGTTGAATAATAAATCGTTGGAAAGTCAAAGATGAAAGTGACACTGAACGCCAAATATTAAAAGTGAATGCCAAGATGCAAAGTGAATTAGCTCCAAAACTTTTGATCTCCCCAATTCAATTTTCATCTCTTGAGAGGGCCTCTGAGCCGGATCAGTCGATTGCCAAAAATAAAATAAAGAACTAAATTAAATATCAACGTATATGTTCAGCCTCTCCAAAGAATAATTTCTCATCCTAACAACCCCGGAAGCTCACATAAACATTAAAAATTATAGGGATTTTTACATACCTAACACTTAAAACAAGTCTATTTACCTATTTAACACCTAAACTTTCATATTTACCTATATACCACTTAAAAAGCCTAACCCTCATCAAGACTACCCCTACGTTTCCATCCCGTCAAACCGAAAACCCGACTGTCTGCTATGCCTTGACCTCCTCTTCCTCTCGCTCGGTTGTCTCACTGCTTTCACCTCCTCTTCAACTCGCCAGATCGAGTCATCAATCTGTTCCGATAGGTATGCTCTTCTCCTTCTTTCTATGCCGTTTTCGTCTTCGAACACCTTCTTTCACTCGCAATCAGCTTACGGTCTCTGGCCAAATCTTTGCTTAAGCCCGAACTTTACCGGTAGCTTATTAATCTGAAGTTCGCATCCAGTTAAGCAAACAGAAACCTTTCATGCGAACTTTTACTTTGCCTATAGCATTTTAGTTCAATTTCCTGCGATGCTTTGATCCTTTCAAGCCGAAGCTTGGGCAAACAGATGCAGATACTTCAAGGAATATAGTTATTTATGATTGTGTTTGAACCTTTTATGGAAAGCGAAGCTTGGACAAATATTTGGTATAAACTTGTTTGCAATAAAATTGTATAAACCACAATTTGTAAACGATTCAGATTAAACCACTAGCTGGAAAAGACGCCAAGCTGCAGAGGAAACAAATGCTGCATATTGATAAAAGCAGAACATATCAGTTGGAGCTGCAGAGGAATCAAAACAAAATACCTAAAGAGAAGAAATGCATGTGTCTCCACTAGCTGGAGAAGACACCAAGCGAATAGATTCACAAAAGGAGAAGACGAGCAGTGAGATTCGCAAACTAGATTGGCGAACTGTGCGATTACATCAAGAGAGGAAGTTGCTCTGCTCGAGTTTGGGGTTCCCGCGCTCTTGCGCGGTTTGGTGTTGACGGGAGGATACGGAATGTTATTTTTGATGAGAATAACAGTTTTAAGGTGGTATATAAGTAAATATGAAAGTTTAGGTGTTAAATAGTTAAATAGACTTATTTTAAGTGTTAATTATGTAAAAATTCCAAAATTATAACACCGAATACGGAATTTATCCCGATAACAACGAATACGGCATTTATCCCGATAACAACGGAACTACTAGCTGTGCAGAGCGCTCATGCTACTACCACGCGAGCAGTAGAGTCGAATTGGAAGCTTCAATTCAAAAAATCGGATGCGCGTATGCACGACAACAACTTCCTGCACCCCTCGATCTGGTTCTTTTAGAGTGACTTTCTTTTTCGCTGTTTTGGGAATCTAGGGTTTGCCGAAACCATCTTCACTCATCTCGATGCCATGGCGATGCCTGGGGTTGACTTCAAGTGGTGAGTCCTGCGGCTCCTTTTTCCTCGGCTCTTCGAAATTCTGATTTTTAAGCCCTGTTTTTTTTTTTATGTACAGGTACGATGGGTTCTTCCTGTCTATGCTAGCGACCAGCATGTAAGCGATTTTTATTTATTTTTTTAATATTTGTAGTGTATTGTTACCTTTTGGGAGCAATATTGGAAACTTGTCAGCTGATGTTTTCGTGGGGTATTTTGATAGTATAATCGTTTCGATCAAGTGGAAGCGGTACCATCTCTGCGTGCATCCTTTGCACATTTGGATTGTGGTGAGTTTCCTACAATCTTTGTGTAAAAGTGGTTTATTTCTGTTATGGTGGCCAGCTTAAGAGTTGATGCTGCCAGGTGGACTATTCTATCGTGTTCATGTTCAGGTTGCTGATGTTTCTGGACAATGGGCTTGCTGCGGGAATGGGTTTGTAAGAACTTTCTTTTTTTAGCAAGTTCGTATTCTTCTTTAAATTTTCTTAATTCACATTTTGTGGATCTGAAATTACTGTGCTATAATGACCGCCATATTTCCTTTAACTGACTTATATAACATTAAGGGACAACGCATCATTTCTTTTTATGGAAAATCGAATTAAATATTTGTCAGGCTGGTACATTTTGATTACACTTGATAAATTATTGCGAGCTCAGGACAAAACCTATTTTTTCTATTATGCTATTTAAAAGCCCAAAACTGATATTCTGTTTTGCTTTGACATTTACCGGTATATACCACTATCCACAATGTTTAAGTTCGGCCAAGGATCACCTGTGAAAAGTCCTCAGCAGGTCTGTATTGTTGGTTGAAATGAATGTCAACTTGAAAGTGTTTTAGAAATAAGTATTTTAGTTAGCTTTGAAAGACTTTTGGGCCGAAGAGGGTTTAAAGCTGGACATTTCAAATCACCAAGCTGACTACCAAAAATGGATAATTTTCTAGTTTCATCTGATAAAGCGCTCTTTGCCAGATATGTTGAAATGGGTTCCAATGGTATTTATTTCACATTAATTTGGCAAGACATCTGAAACATTGACCAATTTATTCCCTTATCTACAAGGTGTTTGTTACATGTCAAGCTTACATCTTAGATGTGAAAATATTTATTTTGGTGTTTTAAAGATGTGTTGGTTTTGATTAAATTTCTTCACTTCCCCATTTTATACTTTTGACTGCTCCATTATAATTACATGAATGTGTTGAATTGATTACTCATTTAGATAGATTTTTCTTTTCCTATGTAATAAAATACATTTTTTTTCTCAAAATAAATTTGGATTCATGCCGGGTAGGTCTACTATGGAAGCCATACATTTATTGAGAGGCTTGATGGAGAAATATAGAGAGAATAAGGAGGATCTACATATGATATTTATTGATTTAGAGAAAGCATATGATAAAGTTCCAAGAGAAGTGCTATGGAGAGTTCTTGAAAAAGAATAGAGAGTTAATAAACACATTATAAAATATAGCAAATCAAAGATATGTAGTAGAAGCTATAGTTTTCAACACACACGGTGTTTGACCAAAATGCTATATTTTTCCATCGGTTGAAATTAACATCAAATCTCACCTTAAGCCATATTTGCTTTAGCATGATGTTCCACTAGACATTGCAAGAGAGTACCTGGTGTATCTTTTTTTTAGATGATTCTACATAGTTGATAAGATAGAGAGGGAGTTGAGAAAAACTGAATTATGGAGGCAACTTAGAGAATTACAATGGTTTAAATTCTTGATAGGATCAAATTGAATATATGGAGTGTATAGTAGTAAAACTATGTGAGGGGATTGCTTGGCATCAAGTCATTAATAAGAGTACCCTTTAGATATTTAGGTATTATTGTTTCAGAGTGTGGTGAAAATGATGGGATATTTATCAACAAAATACAAGTAGGATGGTTTAAGTGTGTGCACATGCTTAGTTTGTTGATATATGAATAGTATTCCTCAAGAGCTAAGTTAGACAAATTCTATCAAGAGGTGTAGAGACCTGATACTTATATAGCCTCGATTGTGCCATCAAGAAATAAAATCTGTTAAAATGAGACAATAATTATCAAGTTTTAAGGCAAGAGATTAAGGAAATACCAGATATGCGATGGTCTTACGCCAGCAGACTAGTTATCGAAATTGTGAAATATTACTTGTTGAATTCATTAATAGGTTGTTAAACCTAACTTATTCCAAGCTTACCAAGGGGGGGGTGATGTGAGTAATTAAAAATTCTCTTGGATTTTAAATTTGAAAAAACGCCGAGATTGATTTCACAAAGCAACGTATTAATAGTTTCAAAATAAACTTCTTCAATCACCTGTAATAAAACTTCATGCAAGTAACCTTAAGCGAAAATGCTTAACACTACACAAAGAATTAAGTTCGTCAATACACGACCTATACTGTCACTACCCTGAAGACTCCTTCTGGTAATTAATTGCATATCACCAACAAAAGTGACTTAACTGTTGCCCCCACACAAGGCGGAAGCTTCCAAAATCGTTACCAGCAAATCCCGGTGCGGCAGAGTATCGTCGTCCTCCATTAAAACGTCACAGATTAGTGGGGATTCTCCCCCAAGTGTAGGCAGTGAACCTCCGTCCTTCACACTCCTCCCAAGCGTCGGTAGAGAACCGTTGCTGTGTTCACTGTACTCCATAATGTTGGCAGATTATCACTCAGATCTTTCACTAACGCTCTAGAAGGACTCAAGTAAAGAAGAGTGAAAAACATAAATCACAACACATAGAGATCTCTTACCCTTGAGTAACCTGTATACTCTTTCACACCCCAAGCTAGGAAGAAATCCTCTCACACCTCTGTAGTCTATCCTTCAATGCAAAGCTTGAAAAAAATCAAAATATAAGAATCATTACGTCAGTTTTTAGTAATTCCTTGCAATACCAAAATGACACGAAATATGAGTCTAAGAGAATTTGTAGTTCCTTTAAATTTGGAGCGAGTACGATCGACAGTACCGAGCATATGTTATCGACTACGAACGAGCTAAATACAGGTGCGTAAAACCTTTGTAATCGTAACGAATAATTCATAGAACGCATCTATTTCATTTCTCCCGATATACGAACCAAGTTCGCCGGTATAATAGTCTATGAAATTCTCTAATGTTTATATTGTATGAAACGCAGTTCTTTCTGTTAAGAAGTGCTAGAATAGACGAATTGTTGAGTGGACCCTGAGTACTTCGCTTAACGTAAACTCGACATTTGTCCCGTACGATCATACTTATTTTTTTTGTGAGACGCAGACCCGAAACCTCCGTTCCTTGTACGAAACGGGATCGTCTCTACGAAATCAACTTGAAAATGTCGGAGAACAGACTAAACGTCGTTCCTCCTTGTACGAAACGGGAACGTGTCCCTTACGAACCAACTAGGAGCCGAGACAAACCGAGATCTGTCTTTCAACTTCATATCGAAAAACAGAATATTCATTTGGACGTCCCAATGATCACACCCAAAATTTTCATTTCTATTCTTGACTTGCTATATGGGAAATAAACTTACCAGAGATCGAACCCGACGATAGTGATACAACAGTACAATGCAGCCTATAAAAAATAGACATTTAAACCTCCCCGGTTGTGTCTCAGGTTAATCAGTTACATGATCACTGTGATCTCCTCAATCAATAAAGAAAATTACTTGCACTTCAATTATATATGAAAGACTCTAAATTGCCTATTTGCTCTTTGAAGTTTCGCATTCCAATTCTAGTAGTAGGATTTCCCTGAACAATATAAGCTTACATCACAATAGCTAAACAATTTTTCAAAAAGTTAGTGATACATAAATAAATCAACAAAAATAGGTGAATCATAAAAACATATACAATTGCAAAAATACAAATAGGAAATTAAGTAGTCATACTACGGCGCATATCATAAATTAGTCAAACGTTAACCAAAGGTGAGTAGCTATGGGAATATAATTAAGAGAGTATCGCTTAAGATGTGAACAAAAACCACCTTCCGATGACACCACGTTAGGGAAAGTAGAGGTATAGATTGACCTATGTTAAAAAGTAAAGGGAACTAAAAAACTGATAGTAAAATATAGAATGATTTCTTATCATAAATTGTAACTACATGTATATGATTTAACAGCCATGACAAACAAAGGAGACACAAAATAAATTCTCTCATGTAGCTCGACCCCACGTATTGGACAAACGTGATTTGTGTATTGTTTAATTATACACTGATCAATTAATAAGGTTTTTTGATAATGCCATTGGGAAATATGCATTTTTTTGAAGATAGAGAAGACTATATTTTCTCAAGTATATACATACATCCCTGATTTTACAGTACAATTTTTTGTTAAATTGAACTTGCATTAATGTGCATGGCATATGTGGGTAAGCATGGCATATTGAATAACATATACATTTGTAATATCACCACAAATCGCCGAGATCTGGAAAAACAGTATATGAAAGTGAAAATATAATCCAAAGAAAATATGAACATCATTATATTGTGACTAACGTGGAAGCAGCTACAGCTTCTTAAAAATCAATGGAATGGGAACCTTGCGTCACACAACACACACACACATAATTAGTATATATATATATATAATATAATAATATATAATAACTTATAAATTGGGTGTTGGAACTTCAGATTTTATACACTCACACTCTCCATAAGTTATTGGTGATACCTCCTCTTCTATGGACTAATCTTGTCTTAAATAAAATATATAGTAAGAATTTAAGTTTTTATATTTGTGTAATTTCCACTGTATCTCTACTAAATTTCACTTTTTGATAGATTGTTCTGTTCAAGAGACTTATAAAATTTAGATGCCTATAGAATGTCAAAATTCTCAATAACTGTCAGCCAATTTAGGCACTGGTTTTAGCCAATTTCAAGAAATGCAATGGTTTAGGTGGAAGAATCGTGGCAAGCACCATAAATATGCATTGTAAGAGTACAACGACCTAAGGTCAAAAAATATCATTTGAAAACTTTATTAAAACTCCTTGTAGTGGTCAAAAACAAAAGTACAAGATTATAACAGACCGAACCAGCAGATTATGGGCTTAACAATGGTAAGTTCAATTAACAAGCCCGATATACTTGTACCATATGATTGTCATTGGGCATAAATATAAACACTTGAAATAATGATGTAAGAAGTTTCATAAATATTTAATTGTTAATGTAAATAAAACATCAAATGGTATGATTGAAAGGAAGTAAACGGAAATAGGTCACTTAGGCATAGTGTATGATTCAAAGTAGACGTTGCTGGGAAATTTTGTACCTCAGAAACGATGCATATTAAATCGGCACGCATTACAGAATACAATCTACGACCCAAGTGTCAGAGAGGTTAAAATATTTACCATTTCTAATGGGGCCGCAATAAAAAATACTCAATATCATAACAGAGATTTCCCCTGGCCACTCTCATTTGGTCTGAGTGGGTTTATTATTTCTGGGGTACAATTACATAGGGGCAAGCCCTATGCGTTAATTACATCCAGTTTGATTTGGGAAAACTTTGATTAAAACTAGTGGTCTATTTGTTGAAAGTCATTTAGACAGTCGCTTAAGTTATTTTGATTGTTTAAAATATGCAATAAAGTCTGTACTTTAAGGTTTGACCCCTATAAATTTCAATGGATGAAGGGTGACAACTAGATAGTCTCTAGTCAATTTGGAATGAGAGCCAAAGGAGGGAAGTAGCAGCACTGATCGATAGCTGTATACTGAGAGAATCCCTGCTATCCGGGCTAAACCACTATCCTAATTGCTTTAACATTACATCATAGCTCTCAAGGAGTTTAAGTCTTATGTTAATGAGATATAGACAAGTGGCCTCTTATTGAATTCCTCAACATAATTATATCTACAAAATTTGAGCCTGAGAAGTGAACGATAATGCAATAAGGGAGTAGAGAGTGGGTAAGACTATCCCCCCTCATCTTAATGTCCTCTGAGAGCACTAAATACGATGAATGCAGAGTCCCCACTATACCCAAAGATAGCTTTTGCCACTTACAACCTAATCTAATGCAACCATTGCAAAGAGGACTATCTACAGATAAACTTAATCCTCAAAATGCTACCTTCCAGGCTGAGCAGATATACTTATGAGCTTCTCTGGCAGCCGCAATTATAATGTCCAGATTTCCTGTACTCTTAGAATACATACATCATTGAATACCAACACTGGTATTTAATATTTTGCTATCTAAATCCACCTGGAAGGTCGGATTATACCAATCGAGCAAATCCCGCAATGTCATCTTCTTGTGCCTTTCTTCTT